GATCCTCAGAAGCAACAAATACCTTTCTTCACTTAATTCCCCTGTAGGTTTTACATTCTAGATATTTTCTTCCAGGAGTAAGAACCAACTAGAACGACCCCTCAGCCAGATTTGGGGGCACTGGGGACCAGAATAAGAAAATACGTTCGGTTCACCTGTGGCAGAACCAACAGCGACCTCTTGTGGTGAAGACTAACTACAGGCCGGGGGTGGACGACAGCACCTCTTCCTAGGCTACAGTCTAGAGGAGGCGGAAGCATTGTTCCTCCAAGCTAGGAAACAGCTGTTATGCACAATGAAAGTAGCAGATAAACATTGACTCACCTGAAGGGTTTGCACAGAAATCTACTTAGTCACTGTCAATTAAAATAATCAGAGCTACTCTTGTCTGTTAGAGCGCAGTGTTGTCAGGAGCTGCTTTTAAAAGAGATCTGTAAAAGGTGGCTAGGTAGATGACTGCCTGGCCCATCCTACTTCTGCATTCAGATGAAAGACCAAGAGGCAATTCTGAGTAGGACAATGGTGTCCTGGGGAAGCAGCCCTCTAGTCAGCAACACACTGCGTTCGTTATGTAACACAGCGTGGGTCCTGAAGCCAGGAGGACGCGCTGGCTTATTTATAGACATAATCTGGGAAGTGGTCAGCATCAGCCCAACCTCATGGACACTGTAAATGTCAAAGCGCTATATTATAAGACCTGGGTCAACCGATGTGTTGAAAATACTATGTGGTTTTATCAATATTTCCTGAACAGCATCTTAGATGTCAAAACATTTGCAGGAAAAAATATCAATTTTACAATTTAAACCAAAAAAAAATCCATTTGTTTTGCAGTATTTCTTTTGAAGTGAATAATGCTTAAAAGTTGTTAACGTTTGTTTTCTTTTTAAAACACCAATTCTTGATTTTTCCTATGAATTTCATTGAAGACCTCAGTTTTGATAAGTACCACTTACAGCCCAAAAAATCATGTTGTAGTTTCCTACAAGCAGGAGATGGCTGAGTAAAAAAAAAAAAAAGACTTGTGCAGGGTGCAGGTTGGCCACCTCCAGCCAAATCGGAAAGTTTTGTCCCTGGAGCTTCTTTCTTTGAAAGGTGAGAGGCTCATAAGCTGCTACGTCCTCCATCTCCTTCCTCCCTCTGGCCCCCTTTTTGCTCCAAAAAGGAAAACACTAGCAGCAGAAAAAGACATCCAATGTCTCAGGGTGCTCGAAATACTAAAGACTGAACTTCTAATAAAAAGATATTTATCATTTTTCAAAGTGTCAATCAAGTTTCCTGTCACCCAAAATGATTTTGTTTTCAAAACAAAGACAACCTATGAAGAATCCACAGTGCTCAGAAACCGAATCACCCCAAAGGACTTAGAAGTGGGCTGTGTCTCTTGCATCTAAAACTCTACCTAAAAGTCCCCAACATAATCACTTTCTTTTCATGTACTTAACCTCTTACATACAAGCTTACGGCTCCCTAGAGCCCAATTGATATTGATGAATAGACTGCACAAGTAAATGAAATTTAAATAAGGAATGTTCCAGACACAGAGGCAGTGGGTAAACACTTCTAGGAGACGCTGCTCAGAATTCACCACGCTGTTCCCAAACCCTCCCTTCCTGCCAACTTCTTTCGATCCCACCAGCCAAAGATGGATCTGGACAGCACCACTGCACTCAGGCCTCTGTTCCTTCCCAGCTTTTGGGAGTCTAACGTGTTCCCGGCAGTCACTAGAACCTCACGTGAAGAACCATCGTGAGTCCTCTGGCTTGTCTAAAAGCGCATTTAACTCTTTAAGATTTACTTTTATTTATGTGTAAGGCACAGTAGCAGAATTTGACTTCTAAAACTAAAGAAATTCCCAACTCCCCCTGATTGGCGATTTGGCTATAAAGTGTGTGTGTATCCATCCAATTCAATGGCCCTCATTATTTTATTTTATAGACTTTGAATCACCAGTAACAACCTGAAATGCTTTCTCCTAACAGAGTCAACTAAATCAAGAAAATAAAAATCCGCTCTCCGGAGGTGTAAAAATAACAGCAAATGGGCTGTCACTGCTTCTCTGGAGCTCAGGGCATGGGACTGTTATCTGGGAAACTGCACCTGAGGAGCTTGGACGTTTCCTAGGAAATCCTCAGATCTAAGAGCTGTTCTCAGACACCTCACACATCTCGTTCTTGTGTTGTGCACCCAGAAAAAGTTCTGTGATGGGTCTCTAACTGGCTGAGACTTCAGTTCACAAGATATCCATGGACAAAAACTCAAGTCCAATGTTTCCTCCCTCCCTCTCTCTCCCTCTCTCTCCCTCCTACCCCCATCCCGCTCTCTGTGTAGGTGTGTGTTTCTATGTTTTTCTACATCTCTCTTCTGCTCTTTGTGGCTGAGAGAGAGAGAGGAAAGGAGAGTGGGTCTGCTTCCGCTGTGCCTGTGCCGGTGCCTGGGTGGATGCCTGTCCTCTGGCTGTCCATCTGTGCACTTCCGCATGAGTTGTGGGTCTCTCTGCACCTGCTCCATGTTGCCTGACTCTCTGTGAGATCTGACCTTGTCACAGGAAGAAGATAGCGCTCCAGAAAGAGAATCTTTTCCTGAAGTGCAGGTAGCTAGACAATCCCAGCCTCTGCCTCTTCGATTCTGTCCTTTCTTCTCGCCTAAAGCCCTGCCAACACTTCACTTTCGATGTTGTTCAGTCAGTGAATAATGAACTCTTCAATGTCACAAACCTGATCCATCTGTTAGACTCCTGCAGGGAATTTCTCTGTTAGTCTCAATTAAACAATTTCTCGGGATGAATTTGTCTATTTCTCTGTCAATTCATATAGAAACAACACAAACCGTGGGATATTCCCACAGGAATGTGCAGACCAATTTAATGCAGTGATTCACTCTTTCTGAGGTCTTCCCCTTTAAAAAAAAAAAAAAAAAAGGACTGAAACCCTGTTGAGGATTTATCACACAGACACATGCACCGACTCCAAGTCTCTAACAATTCAAAAAAGGCTCAGGGGTTTTTTTGAGTCAGAGCTTTCCATGTTAGCCACAGACAACTAGAGGCGGCATTTGAAAAAGCCAAACAGAGGAAGTTCATTGTCAATCGGTGTTTCCTATGGAAAGAAACATGCAAGTGTGAGAAAGGTCCACTACTCATTCATTTGGACTGTGGATGTGAAACACCAGCCTAGAAGCCAACACTTAAAAGCCACATAAGGTTCAGTCTTGACTGTATAACAAGTTGCACCCAATGCCACTTCATCAGTAAACTTCCGGATGGATTCATGTCTTTCCCTTCACCAAGCTTGTGACACAGAGCTTGCAGGGGTTACATTTGGAGGCCTTCTCTGGAAATTCCCCTCCCAGACCTAATTCCATGGTGTTGAAATAATCAGAGGGAGAAAGCCACACCGAGACGGAGACCTTGAACAGCTGATTCCAGTAACCCTTAAACTCTCCCCCACATATTGTTTTACTAATACTCTCCCCTTGTATTGTGGCTACACTAAGGTAATGTATGATATCCCTATAATAAGATGATGTGCAAGTGTAGAAATGGCCTACCCTTGGAAGTTACATTGTATATGATCATGAATATTGAAAATGCACAGGGAATCACACTGGAATGGCTAAAGAGGAATCCCAGGCCATTGTCCTACTGGCTATTCTTTCTACCTCAGACACAACACTGCTGCCCCTACACCAAACTGGAAGAAATAAAGACACAAGCCTCGAATGAAAAACCCAATCCCAAGCCAGAGATTAGGGTACTCAAACACAGTCAGTGCCCAATCAGAAGGATTTGCAAGCCAGGCGGAAGAAGAGCCCCTAATCTAGAACTAGCAGAGCCCAGTCTACCCACTCGGAGAAAGCATCAGTTTATTTCATCATCTGCTATCATTCGAGGGCTCCTGTGTCTTGTCCACCAAGCGCAGAGCATCGTGAAAACAGGAGACGCGTCTTAACCATTTCCTTATCCAAAGGACCCACCGAGTGTCTGTTGCATTACAGTGCCCAAATAAATATTGTTTTGCTGGATCAATAATGAATTATGGAGCTGCACAGATCAAGTCCATCTCTGTGCTCCAAGCGCTGCTGTCTTCCATAAAACAGAAACGTCTTCTTGTAATTCTCCAAGCAAGGGGTCGCAAAATAAAACAACAGGCCCCTGCAGGAAAAACTTGAAGGGATGGCCCACATAGGTTGCTTATGAAGTTGAACATAATTTTGTTAAAAGACTTTAAACAAGTAGAAGATGTAGATTTCAGCCAAAGACAAAGTTTAGACCCATGTTCGACAGGACTATCTTGTGGGAAACGAACTCATAAAAGGATGGCATTTGAAAACACCCTCAGGCAAAAACACCTTTACAGCAACAACAAAGGACAAGAGCACTGAGCAAAAAATGTCTTTGCACCCTGTACAGTCCTCCTGGTTCACTCAAATGCAATGTATCATATAGACCAAGGTACAATCAAAAAAAAAAAATAGCAAACTTTCAACACAAACGCGACTGTCCGCCCAAACTGCCTCTCCATTTGACAAGCACTGCCTCTCTGTTAGGTGGTTCAAGTTCGCCTGCTCTCCCCAGCTCCGGGTCTCTCTCAGCCCTGTGCCCACCGGGACCAAAGCATGCCCAACCTTTCCGCTGACTTGGGAGAATTTGGGTAATGCCTGCAGCCTGCCTGGGAGGAACCGTGGGAGAAGGATGAGCAAGGAACAGATCCCCCATCCGAGGGACATTCAACTCGCTTCTAGTTCAGCCTCCACCGGACCCACCCCGCCGCCTACCCCGCGTCTGGGCTCTGGGCAGGTGGGAGACGCTGCGTCCGTCCCCCCAGGAAGGAGACGCAACGAACTTTCCTCCACCGCCTCGCCCCCTCCGCCCACCCCAAGTCGCCTCCACCAGGTAAGGCAGCCTGCAGCCCCCCCCCTTTGGGCGAGGGACCGGGTGGGACGGAACCGGGGGGGATGTCTGGCGTGGGGGCGGCGTCCCGAACCGCAACTCTGCTTACCGCTGGAGCGCCGGACAATGTTCTCCAAAAACGTGTTCTGCGGTGCCACCAACCCTCTCTTGCCCCCCGGCATCCTGGGTCTGGAGAGGGGCGGCCAGGATCCGCGGCGGGGGAGGGGGGGATGCAGGAAGAGGAGGAAGAGGAGGAAGAGGAGGAGGAGACCGAGCCGAAAGCAGAGGGGGCGCGGCGGCGGCGGCGGGGTCCCCTGACTGTGTCTCCAGCCCGACCCGGATGAGCAGCTCTGGGGTGCAGGACCAGGCAGTTCATGGTAGTAGCGCTCCCCCGGCCGCCGCTGCCCGGACTGTGGCGGTGCCGCACACGGGGCTCGGGAGCTGCAGGCTCCGCGGGGCACAGTGCGCCTGCGCCGCCCCCGCTGTCGCTGTCCCGCCGGTGCCGGTGCCGACGCCGAGGCTGCTGCTGCTGCCGCCGCGGTGGTGGTGGTGGCGGCCCGGGAGCGGGCTCCGCATGGCTCCCGCGGCTGCCCGGCGCTCGGGGGCCGGCGCGGCCAGAGCGCGAACTCCGGCCCCCTCTGCTGCAGGTGCGCCTAGTCCAGCCGTCCCCTCCGGGTCCCCGGTCCGCCCCCTGCCCTGGCGCCGCGGGACCACAGCTGCTCGGCGCAGCCCAACTTCTGCTGGGCTGTGCGCCCCGGTGGCCGCTCCTGTCCCCGGCGGAGGTCCTGGCGAGCGCCGCCGTCCAGTGGGGGACCAGGGAGGGCACTGGGCAGTCGGACTAGAAGGCGGGGGAAGTGGGGGTCACATCCCAGCTTCTTCCGCCGCCGGGGCCACGAGCCCTGGCTGCCCGCCGCGGACGCGGCTCTCGGCGCGACGACGCAGATGGGCTCCGACTCCGGCCGTGGCTGACCGCGGAGCAGGGACTGGCGGGGCGGCGCGCGGGGATGCACAGCAGCCACCTGACGCTGCGACCGCCCCCTCCGGGGCTTCGGCGCCTGACGCCTCGCCCCGGGAGCGCTCGGCAGCCGCCCAACCCACACCCCCAAACCCCCGGAGCCCCAGCCGGCCGGGGTCGGCGCGCACAGCCTCGCGCAGTCCAACCCCCTGCGCGCCCCTGGGCTGGCTAGGGCGCGCTGGGGAGCGGGTGGTCGCGCAGGGGGGCGTCCACCAGGGCTTTGCTGGGCCGCCGCTGCAAAGTTGCGGGAAATGTGGCACTTGATGGAGGAGTGGAGAGAGCGAGTGAATAATTCACAGCCGAGAGAGAGAGAGAGAGAGAGGCGGGCAGCGTTTGCGACGGAGAAACAGGGCAGGCGGTGGGGCCCGAGCTGCATGAGGCCAAGGAGGGGGCGGGCATTGCCCCGAAACACCCCCTCCCCAGCCCCCCATACGGCCGAAACCCGGGACAAGGATGGAACCGTTAAAAGCTGCGCAAAAGCCAGGAGCCTGCCTCCGAGAAGGGAAAATGGCTTTGAGTGCGCAGGGGCCAGCCGTGGGGGGGGAGGGGGGGGACCAGGAGAGCAAAGCGGAGCCCGGGCCGCTGCAGCCAAGTGGCCCCGATCTCGCGGCCTGCGCGTCGCCTACGAACTTGTTAAAAATGCAAACGATAGTTCTCTCCCCGGAGCCGGGGAACCTGGCACTCCAACCGTGTGTGGAAAGCCACGATCCACACTCAGCGCCCGGGGTGTCCGCCTGGCTGTGTAGACGCGGCTGGGGAGGGAGGGGGCCACGAAAAAACCGCGCTGCGGCCAGGCCACATGCTAGAGCGCAACGGGAAGGGGCGCTTGGGATGCGCGCGTACCCCTGAGCAGGTGTGTGGCTTTGCTTGGATACGCCCGGTTGCTAATCACGGGGCCCCCGAGATGGATCCGGGCGCTGTCCCCAGAGCGCCTGAACCTGTGGCCCGGAGACGGCTAAAAGCACAACCCGGCTCCAGGCTTCTCCTTGGGGTCCTACTTCCCGCCCCCCCGCCCCATCACTTGGTTCTGAAATTTCCATGCACTCGGCCAACACTGGGGCAGCCGTGCAAACCCAGAAGGCTGACACCAGGCGAAGAGGGGTTTGTTGTCTATGGTAAATTGAAAGAAATAAATTAATACGCAAGCGATCAGAGGAATAGCACTGGGCTAGCACTGGGAAGCACTGCGGTGGTGCGAGCTGGACCCCCTACTGTCAGAATGCCTCTTAGGTACACTGGGGTGTCTTTAGTTAATAACATGGACTCAGGCACAGATTGGATGGGAGCCGTTGGCTTGCCAGGGGCAGGAGTCAGAGATGTGGCTCCTCCCTGCGGTTGGTAAGGTGCGTGAGGGCGGCGCCATCACCCAGCCTGAAACGCACAATCGGATTTCCCCTCCCGGTGAGTCATGGAGGACCAGTCTTGCAATGGGTCTAATCAGCCATTCATTGGCAGGAGTGGTGAGCAGGCAGGGTTATTTTTTTTATTCATATATAATTCATAGATTGCTATCCTAGATGTCTAGCATGGTAATTCCAACATCATCATTAACAGGGACTGTTTCAAATCTGTAAGTTCTCTTCTGCATCACCAGCATCCCACATCTGCCTTCTGGATATTGGTTTAAAATCTCAACTTCCTAGCATTTCGCATTTAATAGAAATATTCCTGCTCCTAATGATTCTCTGTGGGTGTATTAGCTCACGCTTCCCAAAGAGCAAACCATTCGGGACTGTATTAAAACACCATCATGCAATTGCTGGTAGAATGTCCCCCACTATTTCCAATGGCAGGTTTAATTAAAATGACATTTATCCTTTATTCTTTGCCCTTAGTAATTGCATATAGCATTAGAACTTTGCGATTATTTTAATGGTTATGTAAAAAACAATTGGTAGTTATAAAGCATCAAATGATTGCATTACCCACTTTTCTTCGTCTTCCAGTTTGAATTGTAACTTTTGTACAGGAAGCAACCAAGACCCAGAGAAGTAAACTGCCTTGTTTGGACAGACTCAGATCTCCCGACCCTGTAGCCAGGGCTTCTTGTCCGTAACAGAAAACAGCCTGATGTTGGGTCTGAGCAGTAACATTCAGCAAATCTCTTTTGCTGTCGCCACTGGTTGTGCAGCGTGAGAGACAAGAGAAACCCCTGGCAACAACTTGCGGCAGGCTCCCAATCAAAACAGAGTTCAGGAGAATGGAGCAGCCGCACCGTACGGGCTGACTGGCCCCAAGGACCGTGCTGGCAGATTGCAACAAGGTGCCTATACAGCATTTTAACAGCGGAGTCCATCTGTCGTGATCCAACCACAGAATTTAACAGGTGAGAGACAGCGCAATGAAAAGGCTCCAGTGTCACACAAAAGACTTCTTTCTTATTGTTTGTTTTTACTGCCAAAAAAATAATAATAATCTATTTCAACGCAGAATCTTTTGTCTTTTTCTTCTGTCTCTTGAGGTATGGCAATCAGAGAGGTTTGTGTGTGAGAATCATTAAAGAAGCCAATATAAAATGAAAGATTAGTAAAATTAGGGAGTGGTGATTTGTCCTTACTCCTGGCTTGCTGGAAATTCTTTTATCAAATACCCCTCCTCTGAGGACTTTTAACATGCAGTTTATTTGACAGTAGATGTGGATATGGAAATTTTCAGGAATGTGTTAGAAGTAAGTTTGATCTGACAGTGTTTGATTCTTCCTATGCAGTGGCCTGGCTGCTGTCTTCAAAAGAAATGCATCTTCTCCTCCTCCCCCAGCACAGACCGAAAGTACCAGCTGCAGATGCTGAGTGACTCTGATACCGAATGGCAGAAGGAGCCAAGGAAAGCCCAGATGTCACTCTCCATCCTGGCCTCCAGGGTCGCGTCATTCGCAGTCTGCAACAGTCTATGCCACCTTTCCGCTTCCCTGAGCATCCTTCAGGGTCTCCTTACACAGACCCCAGCTTTCGCAATGAAACATCACAAGTCCTACACACTTCCACATATACCTCCCACCTTCCTCTGTTGGCCCATTCCTCCCATGTGGGATCCAGGTTGAAATGAAGCAGAACAGAGAAGCAACATAGTACAGAGATTTTTCGTTGCTTTGGTCTGAGCACCCTGACTACCTGGAATTCCATCTTGCCTCTGCTGGCCCAGGACAATTTGTTTAACTTTGGCTTCTTCTTCTGCCAAAGGGGGATACAAATTACCTATTTAACAGGGCTGCTCTGGGAATTAAATGAGTTCCACCACCACCACCCCACCTTGGGAACCCTTTAAAACAAATTCTGGCATGCAAAAAGCACAATACTAAGTGTTTGAGAGCACACACATAAGCCTTTTCCTCTGCCTTTTACTTTCATTTTTAGCACAAGCCCTGTTTATTAATGGTCATTAATAAAGTTTATCAATATCCAGATACCTTTTCCTCCTTCTAGAAGTGAGTCGTGCTCTTGCAACCGATGCTGATCAATGAAATAAGAGGGTAAGTCCAAAGTTTCATGCAAAATGGAATTAAAAGATAATTTCATTCTGGTGCAAAAAAAGTGTTGAAATCTCTGATTAGTTTTTCTTCTCATAATATACATTTTCATGAACTTTTTAAAAAATATTTATTTATTTACTTGAAAGTCAGAGTTACACAGAGAGAGAAGGAAGGAAAGAGAGAGAGAGACAGATCTTCCATCCGCTGGTTCACTCCCCAAATAGCAGCAACAGCTGGAGCTGCGCCAATCTGAAACCAGGAGCCAGGAGCTTCTTTCAGGTCTCCCACGCAGGTGCAAGGGCCCAAGCACTTGGGCCATCCTCTACTGCTTTCCCAGGCCATAGCAGAGAACTAGATCGGAAGTGGAGCAGCCGGGACTCCAACGGGCACCCATATGGGATGCCGGCACTGCAGGGGGCAGCTTCACCTGCTAGACCACAGTGCCGGCCCCTCCATGATCTTTTTCAAGACCCCTCATAGGCAGAGAGGTGATGAGTGTTAATTCCTGGGAACGCATAGAACAGCCAGAGCTTGGTTTCCCAATGCTCCTCTGCCTCCCCCTCAGTGTCAAGGAGAACTCTGCCCAGATGAGTTAGCCACACCTGCGGGCTACATAAGCAGGAAAGAAACGTCTGCATCAGGAAGACACTGAGATTCTGCCATTGCTTCCCACTGTGCCACAGCCTAGGTGCTCCTGGCTGATACAAGTTAGGAGCTTACTTTAGGTGCGGGAGATTCTGGAAACCATACTTCTGGATTCTGACTGCACCTGTGGAGTTTATAAACATTGCAAAGGCCCCAGTCTCAGAGATGACTCACAGATAACAGGACACACTGCCATTCCCTACACTCTCACCTTGGTCCTCTCTTGCTTTTCCTGTTTCTTCTAAATGCATAGGAAGCTGTTTCTCTCCTCATCTCTCAAGTTCCTCACTTGACCACGCCCACCACACTTGACCACACCCTCCTAGCTTGACCACACCCTCATTCCTCTCTGCTTCCATCTTTTTTTAAAAAAAGATTTATTTATTTTTTTTAACTTTTATTTAATAAATATAAATTTCCAAAATACAGTTTATGGATTACAATGGCTTCCCCCCCCCCATAGCTTCCCTCCCACCCGCAACCCTCCCATCTCCCACTCCCTCTCCCATTCCATTCCCATCAAGATTCATTTTCAATTATCTTTATATACAGAAGATCAATTTAGTATAAATTAAGTAAAGATTTCAACAGTTTGCACCCACACCAAAACACGAAGTGTAAAATACTGTTTGAATACTAGTTATAGCATTCATTCACATTGTACAACACATTAAGGACAGAGATCCTACATGAGGACTAAGTGCACAGTGACTCCTGTTGTTGACTTAACAAATTGACATTTTTTTTGAAAGGCAGAGTGGACAGTGAGAGAGAGAGAGACAGAGAGAAAGGTCTTCCTTTTGCCGTTGGTTCAC